TTTAAAGATAAATTACGACTAAAACCGAATTGAACGAAGAAAAGTCAAAGAACGGTTGGCGGATTTGCTGTATGCAGTTAAAAACGGCAATGTACGTACTTGAATATCATTTTCATGCCTCTCGGAGTGCGACTGTTTACCTGCCGAAATTGGATATAAATTAAACTGCAGTTCGTGAGCTAAATTGTTTGTAATTCTCTGTTGGAAGAAAGTGTACAGTTGCTCAGCCATCCAGGATACAAACACAATTGCGCTGGTGTGTAATATATTTTCAATATTTCAACAGAAAACCTTCAGCAAGTGTCGACAAAATAATTCAATACAAAGAAACTATTAATGTAGGTCGCTAAAAATATCTTGATATGGAACAGTAGACATGAAAAACATTTTTCATATTCTCATAGTCTAAAGGAAAATAAGGACTTATATATGAGTTAAATATATTTAATAATAGGATGAAAAGGTATTATATATAGTATAATATATCCTAACGTAGGCAACTTCGATCACAATATCGAGATGTACACATGAAAACAATCCGAAAATACGTCAATTAATACCTAAAACTAATCTAAAATAACAAGTGAAATGAAATCTACAATATTTTTACTATATACTGCCTATGTTTTAACTTTGAAAACAAGTTATAGAAGCGAGAAAAATGCGAAGTTTTTGATATTTTACTCATTTTTTAAATGGGCCGTTGCTGGACCCGCGCTGCATGTTGACGTTTGAAAATGACGAATTCGTAATCTCATTGGCTGTCACAACAGCAAGAATAAAAAACAGCCAATGAGGTTACGAATTCGTCATTTTCAAACGTTCTTAAAAGTCTACAGCGCGGGTCCAGCATCGGCCTATTCCAAAAATAAGTAAAATATCAAAAACTTTCGCATTTTTCTCGCTTCTATAACTTGTTTTCAAAGTTAAAACATAGGAAGTATATAGTAAAAATATTGTAGATTTCATTTCACTTGTTATTTTAGATTAGTTTTAGGTATTAATTGACGTATTTTCGGATTGTTTTCATGTGTACATCTCGATATTGTGATTGAAGTTGCCTACCTTAGGATATAATTTGTAAAGTTTTTACAATGCATTTGTTTGTTCTTTAAAAGAAAAATGTTTAGATTTCTGATGATTTATCAGGAAACTTTAATATGAAGTTGTATTTATGTTGTAAATATTGTAGATTGGATATAAAGTAATAAAATTTTGCTCAAATTTTTGTATGATTCTTTATTTCTTTCCGGGTATTATAGCGTGATCCTGAAAACGGGGTTATTTTAACCCCAAAATGGGAGTTAAATGTAACCCCAAAATGGGGATTAAAATTTAACTCCAGAAACGGTGTTATTTGTAACCCCAAAAAAAGGATTATTTTCGATTAAATCTCGTAACCCCTGTTTTTGGTGTTAAAATAACACCCTGAAAATAACAGTGTAAACAACGAAGGCGTCTCATCATAATAACCTCTTGAGAAGGGGAAGGAGTGGACTTATCAGGATAATAACTAGATCTAGGCAGTCAAATGTTTCAACTGTGTCAAGAGCATTTGTAGCACACTTAACATATGTATCACCCTGCAGATAGAAGCCATCAATATACCCACTAATAATATGATTCATAGCTCTAAGCTTAGCCAGGGGTGGTTTCATAAGTTTATTGATCGCGTCGCGTAGCGACAGCGATCTATAGTTTCGGCTTGGTTTTTTTTTTTATTTTCCTCTCGGGTCGACCCCAAGCGTCGCTAGCTGCAGGCCATATCACCCTAATCGGGAACCTGCGCACAGGTAAGTTGCTAGTTATATCACGTGTTGTATTCACTTTGGGCATATTTCGTTTCACCTTCAAAGCAGTAAAGTAGAATCAATAAAGCGATAAAAATGCTAGCATGTGCTATCTTTATCTTTACACTCATTACACATACAACTGCACACACCGAGCAGAGTAAGCCTGCACTAAAGGATTTCAAGCAGTTTCGAAATGGGCTGTTGTGTGTTTCTCCTGCTTTCAACATGCGACTATAGTTCGGTATATTGTTCATTTTTATTATTAAGAACATTTACGACACAAAATTTGCATAGCTGGGCTGGCTACGCCGCTGTGAACGACGCGATCATAACGCCTAGTAGGCGTCTTGTTATGTTAAGAACCTGATCATTTATGGGATACCTTGGGATGGGATAACAGTTTGGGAGTGGATTGAAACAACAAATTTTCATTTTTACAACAGAAGGTAAGAGTCTCCAGCTCCCCGCCTGCTTCAGGGTAGCACAGAATGAAACAGGAATCTTTGCCCCTAACCCAGGTTAAAACCAATATTTTACAAATTTCGTAGTGAAATGCCACGTTTCATACCTTATGATCTTCTGGGACTTTTATTGTTGTCTTCAGATTTCCTTCCTTGGTGTATATTTGAACCGCCGTACGATTGTCTGTTGGTATCATGATTTCATTCTGCTGGGAAATACTCAATGAAAATGCCCAACTCGAGTCACGTTTAAACTTGTATTTTAATTGACACGTCTTGTCACAAACATACACATGAGGGTCTTCGTTTTGGATGATGATAATATCATCGTCTTTGCATATCGCGATCTTAACTGAAGATAACAAACTTTTCCCCTCGAGAAAATCCAATTTATGATTTCCTTTCACATTGTAATTATCGTCCAATATCGTCAACATGAATACTTCACGCCAAGGTTCTCTAACCACGTAAACATTGTTATTCATATCAACAGCAAGCGACAGTAAAATATTACCTGCAAATTCAGGTATTTCAACCCGTTTGATTTTTCCTGCCTCATGGATAATCATGATGTCGTCACGAGACGGAGTAAGAACATCCCCCTGACTGTTCACAGCAGAGAAGTCGGGTAATATTTCTTCATCAAGGAACTGTTCGTTTGGAGGATGAGGCAATTCATCTCCCATAGCCTTTCTTGTTGAAATTTCCTTCCAATTTCTTATTGGGTGAAAACTACGATCACGAAGTTCAATTATGCCGGCGAACACCTCAAACGAATACTTGCTGCTGAATTTCCTGACATATTGAAACAACACATAGTTGATTAACATAACCGACTTGACGTTCTCCGCTCGTTGGGTTTTATTAAACAATGATTTGACTCCACCGTTCAAATACACCGAGAATATCTCTTGAATGGCTGGTAAGCTATGAAGCTTCTTCAAAAACGACAAACACCCAGTGATTGCGGTCTCAGGACTATCGACATGTTCCAGTATTTCTGAAACTATTCGTAGCTTCGCAGCAAGAATTCGATCTTCGATACTAAATGACTCATTCCAGAAAGCAGTGGTTGCTCTGTCGCGCGCTTTCTCGAATCTTTTTCTCGCAATTTCAAACTTTCTTTCCGAGTTGATTTTGAGCTTTTTCATAGCGCGAGGAAGCTCTATTGCTTGGTTTAAGATACCAGACTGAATAACGCTCGAAGGTTCACCTGCTTCGTCCTGAGTTTCGTTCGCTTTCTGCTCAGGATTTGATTTATCAAGAGAATCACGGAGAAACTCAACTCCTTCTCCTAACGAATTATAACTGGCGAGTAAAGTTGATCTAGAAAGGCCATCGATTTTAGACTTGATATCATTTAACTCTCGTACGACAATCTTTCGAATTTCTGCATCGGTTACATCGCCGTCTTTGAGTTTGTCTGACGCCGAGTCTCTGACCTTATTCCATAATAAACCAACTGTTGAACTGAGAATACTTGTCACAATTGAAGTCATACCGAGTTTTTTTACTGAAGCCAAAAATTAAGGCTAAATTTTGACTAAACACTGGTGAATATGCTCAAACACATTAAATCATATGATTCCTAACGATGTTTTTATTTACGTTCTTCCGGAAACTTCATCACATGAGAAACAGGCGAGATATGAAGGTTGTTCAAGTTTACAGTATAGAATTACCTTGTTTACATCGTCTACAATACATCTGGGAGCGATCTCGTATATAAATATCCCAGCTGTATTTCACTTTAGTCTTATGTCACTGCACGAGCCAAGTTTTATAGGAAAAGTTATAGACACGAGCGAGATGAAATCATTGCGTGTTCGTAGTTGAACAAAACACAGTTTCAACAGAACTAAGTTAGGGCTATAGGTATTTACAAAAGTACATAAATTAGGCATATAAAAGTAAACAATATATAGATACTTGACCTTACATTACCGAATTCATAAATTAGTCATTACACAAACAACAGTATTTGTGAAAAAATCTTGCAAGAAATTCGGACTAACAAACCGAAATCGCTTCTCTCGCCAGTACGCGTTTTTTCTCTCTGAAATTTCTTTGTTTAACCTGACGCAGGTCAACTTAAACTCTTAAAATGCACTTGGGAGGGCAGAAAGTATGATCGGTTATATGCGCCTTAAGGCTGTACGATAGTCTTTATTTATCGCTGAACTATCAAACAAAACTAAAGATTGAAGAAATACGATAGAAATCACTGCAATTATTTCTAAAATCAAACCTGGGCGATAAATCAAGAAAAGAAAAGCATAAATAAATGTGCTAGGAGAACTTGTTGCGCATGTCCGTGGATGAATAATAGCAGAATATGATTTAGTAGTTTAAATTTAGATTTAAAGACAAAGACTGATAGAAATAGGTTTCATTCACGGTAACTAAAGCACAATTGAAGTTTAACAGGAAAGTTTGCGCAACAAACTGATAACTCGCAACTGCCTGACTTCTTCTCTTCCGCCTGCAACTCCCATAACAATAAGATTTGTCAAAGCTTAATACCACGCAATTGCAAGACGTTTGCCTCTTTGGAAAAAATGAATTATTTATATCGTATACTGTATAATTAAGGTAAACGACGATGATTATGTGCTTGGTGGATAACAATAGACGATTGTGGATGCCGATGGACAATGATGGACAACGATATAGATAGATGGGGTAAGGATTCCCCGACGTGTTATTGCACGGTGGTGGTGATGAGAAAAGGTGATGATGGTCACTCCTATTTCTTACCAGTGCCAGTTGTGTAGTCTTGATTGCTTCCAGTGTTACGGATTTGCGTTGGTCGTCGTTGAGGGAGGAAACTGTGGAACCTGTAAATATTGAAGTCAGTGTCACCAGATCTGGTACATTTTCATGGATAACGATGGATTGCTACGTATAATTGAAGATGATAATTTTGTGCATCGATGGATAACAATTGATAATCATGGACAATGACGGAAGCGATGTAGAGTAATGAGGTAATGACTATTCATAATAATGATGGTGGTCATGAGATCACTCTTATTTCATACCTGAGTCTGTAGTGTGGTCTCGACTGCGTCCAGTCTTCCTGGATTGTCTCAACCTTCTCTTTGTTTGTCAATAGCAGCGCTGGTTTTTATCGCGGACCCAATGACAATATTTACCACGCGTAAAATCACAGTTATCTACAAGGAATGAAAGAGTTGTACATCATCAGTTGAGTTAACTCTCACCAGAATAATTGCTTATCAAAACCTTGCGAGTAAACTCGTGTTATACCAGAACATGGATAAAATAATTACAATACAACATTCGCTCTTCAAAATAAAATCCGCATGTCGACAGACAGGCATCAGATGTAATCTAACAAAATTTAAGTGTGTGTAGTTTGTGAAGTTTTTCTCTGCAGAGAGTTTCGACTGTCTCTTGAGGTTGTTAACTCAGCCAAGAGTTTGAGCTCGGCTCAAATGAACGAACGAATGAATGAATAAACGAATGCAGTAAATATACCTGAGTTACACGAGCTGTTGATATCACAATTGTTTATCTCTTCACACGCACTTGCAATAATTCACATGCATCATTAGCAGAGGAATGAATCTTAACCATTCCTGACTTGACGAATTGTGCAGTTGAAAATATGTTCATATCAGAGAGATGTCTGTATTGAAGAGGTGCATGTATTAAGACAAGATTACATTTGCAATTGTTGCTGTCATCTTCTTCTTTTGATAGATGTGAACGAGTAGATTTAGTTATGGTTGTTCAGATAAGAGCACCTATACATCATTACATCATAACTATTCGCTCGTTCACATCAATCAAAAGACGAAAATCGCCACAAAAATCGGATGGTAATTGGACTTGTAAACGTTGCTTCAGAGAGGTGTTTGTAAATAATGTATTGAAATACCACGCTCAATAAACTATTAACCCGCCACTTATGGATACTTGCTGCTGAATTTCCAAGCAGTTGTGTCTTTTTAAGGAAAGTTCACTTGAAAGAGATGCCGCACATATCTTTGTTATTGGAAACAAAAATCATTGTTTATTTGATTCATATCGAGAATCATTGGCATTGAATTTAAATCTTATCTCACATGAGATAAAATTGAAAATTAAACGAGACTTACCTGGAAGTTGAAATTTGATTTGGATTGTATGAGTCATCAGCCAGAAGTGTGAGAGTTGTACGAGAGAGACTGGAGCGCATGCGCCAATCAGTCTTTAGAGCTTTACCAGACAAAGACCGCACGGACGTGATGAGTGTGAGAGTGGACTGCAAGTAAGGGAACGGGAGAGAACAGGGGGGGCGTACAACTCTCACACTCCAGGCCAAATCCAACTTCAACTTCCAGGTAAGTCTCGTTTAATTTTCAATTCCATTTCGTCATCAGCCTAAGTCGTGTGACGTTGTACGAGATTTCAGAGCAATCAGTGAGGTCTTTGTCCTGCAGAGATACACAAACCACTCTAACTATAACCAGCGTGATAAAACCAAATGGAAAGATATCTCGATATATAGAGAAGTATATTATATATATAGTATATTATATATCCTAGGAACAATTAACGTTTGTATAGCACTCTAACATCGAAGCGCCAAAATTAAATTCCTCCTCGCTCGGTTTATTATAAAACCGTTGAAATGTCTGTTAATTCGACCATCCTGCGGATAACATAATATCCTTAATGTTACAGTTATTGGACGCTAAAAAGGATGTAGTTGCTGCTCGAACACTATGACTTTTAAATTTGCTAACATCTAAACCTACAGCTACCAAAACAGACTTTATCCATCGAGATATAGTATCTTTGGAAACAGGTCCATACGTTTTCACATAACTCAGTAGCAATTGCTTTCTATCATGGCTATTTTCATCAGTTCTCTTAATATACTCTAAGAGATTAGTAACGATGCAAAACTGAGGCTCAAATGGATATTTCAAAAACTCCAGGGGTTTGACATGAGTTCCGACACGTGTCTGTTTGACTTTCTCCATGACGTGGAAAGTGCACTTGTCCGCAACGAGAATCATGTTATCGAAAGTGAGAAGATGAATAGTTTGACAGCGTTGTCCACTGAGTAAGGTCAATAAGAAGGAAACTTTAACAGTAAGCTCCTTCAAAGTCAGCGCGGAAGGTATAGAATGCTTTCGAAAAAACTATAAGACCTTGCTAACATCCCATGTTGTCTGGTAACGCGGTAGAGCCGGGCGCAGTTCGAATACACCTTTCATAAAGTGCTAAACAATAAGTAGCTGTCCGAAAGTGACTTCACTATCACTTAACTGCAAAATAGAAGATAAAGCACAGCTCGCCGAGTTGATTGAGCGATAGGACAAACCCGAGTCAAGCAGCGATGACAGAAAATCTAACATCCGTGGTAAGGGAGGGACTAAAGCAGTGTTTACACTAGAGACCTATCCTATACCTGACCTAAGACCTAACTTAAGCAGTTAGTCCTGTAGTTTAAACGCATTAGCACTGACCTAAGACCATGATTTCAAACCAAGCATTAGAGGTGGCCTGAAAACATGGTATTAGGTAAGTCCTAGGTAAGTCTCAAGTCAGTCTGGCGGTGTAAACACATTTTCATTGACCCAAGTGTGACCGAAGCTAATTTCCATGACAACAAACGTAAATTCGAGTCTTTGATATCAGCATTTAGCGGTCTTGGGATTTTAGCGCGATTTTGCAAAAATTAGGGGAAAATTCAGAGTTGATAATTAGCTACATGGCGAATTTCGGAACTTGCCGATAAGTTATATCATATATTTTTTAATTTTGCATGAAATCGTTGTTTGCCAGTAATCCCAGTAATCACTACGTCGTATTCTTTTACGAGGCTTTGTAGTTTGTACGAAATAAACAAACAAAGAACTGCAAGCTGCATTTTATTAACTGATTGCAAGAACTGCATTTTAATACTCTTCTGAAAGTACTTTATGTTGCGTGTATGTATATAAGTTCCGTTAGGTAACTGGTGCAAACAGACCCTGTAAAACTTGGTTAGGTACTTCTCAGGTAGGGGTAAATGTCAGGTAAATGTCAGCCCCTTCGTAGGCTTGCGGGCCTTAAAATCGACTAGAAGGGTTTCTCTGAGAAACTGTATTTACAAACTTGTTTGTAGCCTGAATATCTTTCTAAGACAGAAACATGATTATCTTTATTATGTTAAGAACCTTATCATTTATTACAAGAGCAAAGAAAGTTTTCACTATATTATATCATAGGAAATAGAATTAATACGCTTTTAAATATCATTAAAAGCTTATTGTCCATGTTGGCAAACGTTAAAAAACGTTCATTATCTAAAATATTTCAATATAAGTTACACTTGTTTCTCTTACAACAGAAACAGAGACACTTTAATTGGACGTAATTCAGCAAAGTCTCACAAATTATATAAACCATGCTGCATCTATTGTTTGCTTTAGTTAACTCAAAGTTGCACTATTTCAGACAAGTATTTACTGTGTTTTATGCAGGTAATGTTTGTTCATACTGAATCTCATTAAAGGTAAGTGATGTTTCTGTCTCTTAAAACAACAACAGGACCCTTGGGATGGGATACCAGTTTGGGAGGCAACTCATTGCCAAATTTACAAAAGAAGGTAAGAGTCTCCAGCTCCCCGCCTGCTTCAGGGTAGCACAGAATGAAATAGGAATGCTTTTCTCTAACCCAGGTTAAAACCAATATTTTACAAATTTCGTAGTGAAATGCCACGCTCTGTACCTCATGATCTTCTGGGACTTTTATTGTTGTCTTCAGATTTCCTTCCTTGGTGTATATTTGAACCGCCGTATGATCCTCTGTTGGTATCATGATTTCATTCTGCTGGGAAATACTCAATGAAAATGCCCACCTCGAGTCGCGTTTAAACTTGTATTTCAATTGACACGTCTTCTCACAAACATACACATGAGGGTCTTCGCGTTGGATGATGATAATATCGTCGTCTTTGCATGTCGCGATATTAACTAGAGAGAAATCCTCGAGAAAATCCAATGTATGACTTGCTTTTACATTGTAATTCTCGTCCAATATCGTCAACATGAATACTTCACCTGAACGTTTTCTCACCACGTAAACATTGTTATTCATATCAACAGCAAGCGCCACTAAAATATCACCTGCAAATTCAGGTATTTTAACCCGTTTGATTTCTCCTGCCTGATTGATAATCATGATGTTTCCACTAGAAGTAGAGACAATAATGATTGAACCACCAGACCCATTATCATGGACAGTAAGAACATCCCCCTGACTGTTCACAGCAGATAAGTCGGGTCTTATTTTTTCATCAAGGAACTGTTCGTAGAGAGGATGAGGCAATTCCTCTCCCATAGACTTTCTTGTTGAAATTTCGTACGAATTTCTTATTGGGTGAAAACTAAGATCAGGAAGTTTAATCGTTGGCATGCAGGCGGACACTTCAAACGAATACTTGCTGCTGAATTTCCCAACATATTGAAACAACATATAGTTGATTAACATAACCGACTTGACGTTCTCCACTCGTTGAGTTTTATTCAACAACGATTTCACTCCACCGTTCAAATACACCGAGAATATCTCTTGAATGGCTGGTAAGCTATGCAGCTTCTTTAAAAACGACAAACACCCAGTGATTGCGGTCTCAGGACTATCGAGATGTTCCAGTATTTCTGAAACTATTCGTAGCTTCGCGGCAAAAATTCGATCTTCGATACTGAATGCTTCATTCCTGAAAGCAGTGGTTGCTGTCTTGCGCGCATCTTTGAATCTTTCCCTCGCAGTTTCAAACTCTCTGTCTGAATTGATTTTAAGCTTTTCCATGGCGCGAGGAAGCTCTATTGCTTGGTTTAAGATACCAGACTGAATAACGCTCGAAGGTTCACCTGGTTCGTCCTGAGTTTCGCTCGCTTTCTGCTCGGGATTTGATTTATCAAGAGAAACACTGAGTAACTCAACTCCTTCTTCTAGAAAATCGTAACTGGCGAGTAAAGTTGATCGGGAAAGGCCATCGATTTTAGACTTGATATCATTTAACTCTCGTACGACAATCTTACGAATTTCTGCATCGGTTACATCACCGTCTTTGAGTTTGTCTGCCGCCGAGTCTTGGACCTTATTCCATAATAAACCAACTGTTGAACTGAGAATACTTGTCACAATTGAAGACATAGCGAGTTTCTTTACTCCAAGCGATGCTAAACTTCACTGAAAACCTGACGAAATTCGTGAAACTAATATAAACTCGGGAAGTGGAGACGATTTAGAACAGAAGAGGGACTGAATGGATGTATTTATATCATCCGTGACAGGTTTATTGTTTAAGGATGCGAATGTTGCCAAGGGAGAGAGGCAAATGTGGTATCTTTTAGGCAAAATAAAACACCAAATACCTGTTGTTTTGTTTCTTTTAGGAAAATTGGAACAGTGCATGAAATATTTTGAACACGTTTTACTTTTTATTCTTATTCAAATATATAGTATCCGTTAATGTGGTTTGTTGACAGTGTTTATGAAAAATGAACGCCGTGATGGTGTCAATTTATAGCGACTAACGTGCAACTAAATTACATAGTCAT